GCCCAATTGCTTTTACAATAAATAAACATTGAATGTGTTTAATTGAATAGTAAAGGGGTTTAACGTTAGTGGCAGGTTGTGTGTGAGAGAGAATAAATAAGACAGCCCAATATTTAAAAAAATTGTTATTCTTTTCCCCCGCATATTTAGCATATTTCGCAACTTTCCGCATATTTCCTAACTTCCCGCAATTTCACCGCATAAAATCACATAAAACCCCGCATGTTTAATCGCATAATCAAGGATTTTAGCCCGCATAATCAAGGAATTTAGCCCGCATAATCAAGGATTTTTGCCCGCGTTTTTCTGGAGGGTCTAGTTAAGAATGTCTATAACAGAACACACAATGAATGTAATGAATGACAAACAAAATATAAATACAAACGTTGTTTAGAAGAATGACTGATTATTAATTATTAATACAAATATATATTAAGAAAATGTATTAAGCTGTATGATTAATTTGTCATATTTTCCATCATAATATACTCATCATTTAAAAAAAAAAAATTACAACAGGGGGGTCCCCGCCAGAGGATAATGCTATATGGGGGTCCTTGGCATGGCAATATTTGGGAACCCCTGGTCTAGCTAGGGTGAAAGGAGGTGCTGCAGCACAGGCAGGATGAGAAAAATAAAGAGCTTTTTGAACATTAAAGCATGGAGACATGTCACAACAGAAGCACAAAATATGTGTCCTCTTTAAGGGACTTAAACATAAAAATACAAGCAACGTTTTAGAAAATGATTCTTTCAGATAGTTAACATCTAAGTCAAATTCCTAGTTGATTTTCATGTGTTGGCATGTAAAGCAGCCAAAGCCGGCCTTTAGTCACTCTAAAGTCACAAACTTGCGCACAAACGTTGAAACATATTCAGCATTAATAGGATAAAACATGCAAATGTCTAGTGTGACCCCTTCAAAATAAAGCTTATACGTTTCAGATTGACCAGAGGGATGTTGAGTATTACATACAGGTTGGTTTCTCGCTTATTCTCTTGTGTGTTTTCAGAGTACGCAAGATCCTGAACCTGCGGCTGTTTGAAGACGAGAACGGGCGAACGTGGAGCAAAAGCGTCATGGACCGGGACTTTGAGGTGCTGTGTGTGAGCCAGTTCACACTGCAGTGTGTCCTTAAGGGCAACAAGCCAGACTTCCACGCAGCCATGCCTGCAGAGCTGGCCCAGCCCTTCTACAACAGCATCCTGGAGAACATGAGGAGCAGCTACAAGCCCGAGCTCATTAAGGGTGGGTGAAGTGATGACTCAGCCATTTATACTCCTACGTTTTTTTTTTCTTCTAAAGATTTTTTGGAATCAGTTAAATAATTTCCCCAATCCCCATTGTCGCAGTTTTTCCTAACATTTAATGTTAGCCCTTTGTCAGATATTAAGTAGTTGATAGCCATTGTTTATTTCATGACATTATGAGGGATTTAGTATAGTATAGCCCAATAGTCAACCTATTTTTATTTTATAATTGTTTTTATTAATTGAAAAAGATAGTTTTTTTTAAGAGGTTCCAATCTTTTTATGTTGTTTATAAATATGTTTCTATCGAAAAAATGTTGTTCAATAGATTTGCAGTGTCAACAGACATCAGTAACATATTTGTCCTATTGTCGCAGTTTTTCGTTACATTTAATGTCAGCCATGGGTCTGATTTTGAGAAACTGAGGGTCATGTATGACATTACGATGATGGATTTTGTTAAAAAACAAATTATACAGTGTTTGTCAAAAGTAGGTACATTGAATTGCAGTTTCCAGCTACTTGTCTTTAAGTTTATTAAAAACAGAATTGTTAAGTTAAATAATTAACCTATTGTTGCAGTTTTTTTTTTTTTTAACTAATGTCAGATATTGAGTTTCTTACAGCCATTGTTTATTGACATTACAATGTATTATGTGTCAGCAGAGTTGAAAAAGTAAGAATTGTTACGGTTGCTGTGAAAAGTGTGGGGGTTCAGAACGAGAGGACGGTTTTCAGGAGGTTGGAGGACAAACTGGCTAAAGAAAAACTCCAGCTGCTTGTTTTGAGCTTATTAAAAACAAAAGTGTTGAGGGTCACCCTTATCCCTACTCACTTACACGTCGAGTCCGCGCCCTTTTCCCCTCATTTTTAATTGCCTTTATTCCCCCCTTCTTTGCTGTGGATTATCGGTGCTGTGACGCCTCTCTTGTGACGGTGAACTGGGTCAGCAGGTGCGGAGAACACATCGTCCTAGCAAGGGAGGCATAAGGCTTCCTAATTAGTCCCCCCCTCCAGAGAGGAAATATGATGATGCAGCACTTTTTGGCCCACGGCTTTGTGGTGCAGAGGGTGTCATTAATCTCACGGACCCAGTGGAAGAGAAGAGGTTGAACTTCCTGACCTCCTACAGCCGCTTTTGTCCCCAACGTCTCAAGGCTCTACGTTATCCTACATCCTTATGGAACATTTACTGCCAACGCAAAACAAACTCTGCTTCTACCATTTAAATATTTGCATGTGGTGTTATTTGGGATGTTTCAAGAGGACATATTAGGCTCCTCTCCAGGTTCATATTTTTTATTTAGTGTCTCTACTGTGACATGTCTCCATACTTGAATATTCAAAAAACTCTAAAATTGTTCTCATACTGCCTGTGCTGCGGCACCTCTTTTCACCCTCTGTCTGAAACCAGAGCCCAGTCTGCTCTGATTGGTTAGCTGGCCGGCTCAGTTGTGATTGGCCAACTGCTTAGAGATGTGCCTGAACTGCTCCTTGGCCTATCACATACAATGTGTTGGAGGGCTAGCCAACAGAAGCGCTATGTCACGGATGTAAACAAAGAGGTCCAATGGAGGCGTTTCAGGCAGGGGGGAACTTTGGGAACCCCAAAAAGCATGATAGGGCCTCTTTAATAAGCTGACTGTGGCACTGATGCTAATCAGTGAAACTTGAGTGGATCTTATGGTTTGACTTTTAATTGCAAGAGGAGTATACTACAAAGCAAGATCCCCAGAGCCAGGGTTTATTTGCTTTATCAACATAATCTGAAACGCTATTCAGAGATAACGGTTACCATAAAGTTGGAAATCAAATGTCTTTGTTTATCCAGGCTGCTGTTCTCAGGCTCCCATAAAAGAGTGCGTTTGTTGCATCATTTGACTCTTCTTCCGCACAAATAAGTCTCCTTCTTTCACGCTTGTGAAATGTCTCTGTGTTTCTTTCTGTGTTTCTAGATGGGACGTTTGGGGGATACATGCAGGTCCACATTCAAAACGACGGACCTGTTACCATAGAGCTGAGGTCCCCCACTGGCCCATCGGACCTCAAACAGGTAACCTAGTGAGCATGAAGTAGATTGATTAGAGCAAGTTTTTATTTTCACCAACATGTTCATTGATTTTGTAACGTTATAAACTTAACACAAAAAGTTAGGAAATGTGTGTTTGGTAGATGATTTCTTTGTTGTAACAATGTTTCTTGGCAATAAATCTTATTCTGTTGGAAAGCCTGTTTTCTTACCTTTCAAATGGTGCCTCATTTGTGACGAACATGCATTTGTGAGAGGAGCAGTAGAGCTGAGTATGTGGGTTGCTCAAATCTCCTGTCAATCCACTTTTCAGTACTACTGAAAAGTGGATTGACAGGAGATTTGAGCAACCCACATACTCAGCTCTACTGCTCCTCTCACAAATGCATGTTCGTCACAAATGAGGCACCATTTNATGACAGTAAAACAAAAATGCAGTTTGAAAGGAGAGTGATTTGTAAAATATCCATAAAGAAAAAGTAAATCTGTTTACAGTTCTGTTTCATATGGGTGTTGAGAGATGTATCCATAGATCTCCTAATGTTGCTCTCAAAGTGCACCAGATTGATGCTTTTAACTTCAATAATTAAAAAACAAATCTTCCCTGGACCCCAGGAGGAGGTGAAGTCCGCCCCAGTCATAAAAACATATTATAGAACAACCTCAACCTATACAAGTAACCTCGTAAGCCATTCTACTGATGCTGGACAGTTTTTCAGTGGGTGCACAATAAACAGCAACATACACATTAATGTAAATAAACAACCAAATAATGGATCAACGCTCTCTGTCTAATATGTTCGCTAGCTGTTAGTGTTGTTGCATAGCAACCACCTCGCACTATGTTTTGTGCAGAAGGCAACGGAGGGACTATTTTATTTTGAACATCATCATTTACTAATAAAAACTATTTAAATTAGAGTGTGTATTTTTCTTTCATATTGCCACACTTGGTAACCGTTTTATAAAAGCAATAGCTCACTTCATGCGTCGGGCCGAACCTGTGATAAGCTGTGATATAATGAGCTATTGCTTAAATATAAGATCATCATTTGTTTTTAGCGTTGTCACTGTCCTGGGAGAACCAAGAATCTCCTAAAACTTTTAATGAGTTCCTTAAAAAGACAGTCCTGTTTTCAGCTTTGAAACCATTTTCCCTCTGATCCAAAGTCTTTTATTTTATTTTATTTAGCTTGTGAATGAGGAGAATTTTCCGAGACATAAAGGAGTAGCCTACTTCATCTTTCAGTTTATCACAAACATTCAAAATCAAGACATCTATGGCAATACATGGCTTTCACTGGACAGGAAGGGGATTCAAACTGAGAAATTTTTTCAAAGTTTCATTACAATGTCAACAAATAAAAGAGATCGCGGGCACTAAAGTGGATAGAAAACAGAGATCTGGATGTCATTGTGTTCCCCTCTCACTGCACATTAAGAACTGCCATATTGTACATGACAAGTTAAACTAATATGATCAATTGTAGAAGTGTTGCAAATGTCCGGGAATATTAAAAGGTGAAAACATTTAATGGGAATTAATAAGAAATAAAAGGATTCAAAAGTCAATATATACCAAATACAGATCCAATATAATAAGCACATATCCAATATCTTGTCCAAAACGAACAATGTGAAATGTTCTACATGCTGAGTTAGCTAGCTAGCAAAATTCAAACCGATAACGGCCCAGTTTTAAATGAAAGACTAATCAAATGTTTTACAACAGCAAATGAATGGAAATGGTTGAATTAAAACGTCTCAATTAGCCTCAATCAAGCTACATGCCACATGGTAATAGCTAGCAAGCAAAAACTAGCAAAACAGTTCACTACTTACAAACAGTGTACTTTGCCGAAGAAAACCATCTGATGGTACATTGAAATACCATAAAAAATATATATATGTTCATCTCCAGTAATATACTCAATATATAATACTCTTTTCTTGTAACATAATCATTTTTCTCACAGTGCAGTAGTGTTGGCAGCAGTGTGCTGCACATGTTATGGGACTGCGCACTGTGCACGTAGAGGCTGGATTCCTATTTAATGTGATCCTCACAGATGATCTGCAGATGTGGTTACAGTTCAATGAAATGGTTATATGGGCATACTTTTAACAAAAACACGCCACCAAGTTTAAAAGAAAATCTCCTGGAAATCTACCGGAGGTGTTCCTTCCCTTTGCAACCCTAAATGGGAGAGAAATTTTTTTTTAACACTATATTTTATAACAGTGTAAAATCTCTTGAAAACAACTTTAGATTTCTCAATAAAGCGTATTTTGATTTTGTCAGGGTTTTGGCAAATTTCAGTTAATTTAAGGGACTTTTATCTTTCATTTCTCTTTGTATTACAGATTTCTTAAAGATAAATGCTTGTTTTTTGGTGGAATTTCACTTTTTACTAATTGAATGGTTTGTCTTAATTATTTTGACCAAACCAGAGTTGGTGATGGTTGGGGAACAATGGAAAGACTTAACCAAGCTAGTGAGTTTTGTTTTGTGTTACTATTGAGTATGAAATAAGTGTGTTTTACGATGCTCACTGCAGCTTACCACGGGTCCGCACAGGAAGCGCTTCACACACAAATGCACGCTACAGGCAAAGTTTTTTTTATATTTACCATATATATTTTCCAATGAAATAGCTTAAGACAATAAAACCCTTTTACTGCACGGCAAATTGAAATACCCACAAGAACACAACACGATGTTCAAGGACCTGCAGACACCCCGTGTGTGTATGAGCATGTGTGACTGCATGTGTTTATGTGAGTCTTCCTCACCCTGCTGACCTAAGGCTCCCTCTCTGATGACACATCTCCATCGGCTCCACTGCTGGCGTTGGGGTCCGGTCGGGACCGCCCCGCTCCTTTTTCCCTGCACTCTGAGGGGCCCTTGGAGCGCGTCTTCTCTTTTCGCTGCTGCTGCTTCTCCTGCTTTGAAAGCTGAGGATACAAAGGAAGGCTTGCTTCAGAAAAAGAAAACTTGATCTAACAGAACAATGTGGCATTAACATGTACAACCACTTCAAGGGAGATGACGACAGATATATTGGAGACATTTATACAGCATGAATGATTAATGAATGGAAACGTGTGGATTCTGCCTTGAAACCCTTTATGCTTTCTGGGTTTTTCATGTGCTGTAGAGTGTTCTATAGGTCTTCTGTGCATGTAGATGGTCTGCAAAGGCTAACATTTAGTGTGCAATTGTTGTATTTTGTATATGTACCCTTTGGCTGAATAATTTTAAATCAATCTTGGGCTCCTGGGGGGGGGTTACTGGTTGGAGGCACACACCCTGAACATGCTGCATCATGAATTGCAGATCATGACATTTCAGCGTGTTCACTTTTCACAGAGAGACCCTGACATGCATTTAGAAATATGAAACAAAGGAGGAGACACACGTCAGCGCACAGACCAAAAATCCACATCTGACTTCTCTTTGTTGATTAAACGCTTCTATTCTGTCCTCATTACAAGCTATTATTGGCCATCCAATGATCACTTCAATGAGTCTTTTGTTGTGACTGCCTGCGCTAAAAAATAAAGCCTTTCCAGTGCCTCTCCAGTCACTACTCCAATCAAACTTTTTTCTTTGTATTCTTCACGCTCCATGAAACAGCACAACAGCGATGATGAAGTAGGTATGCTACCCGCCATCTGTAAACACAGATGCTGAAACTTTAATGGCTGCCCAGGAAATATTTATGAACTAAATGTCATCTTAAAATCCAAAGCATTTCGTAAGACATTACATTATTTAAAGAGGACAAAGAAAAATCTGTTCTATTCTCATTTGAACCCATTAACATGGCGACTCTGTTGATGATATAACACTGAACAAACACAAGTTCCTCTTTTTGCCATAAATCAACATTTCAACTCTAATGGAAAAGCTACAGTCAAGCAAAACTAGAATCCCGCTTTGATAAAGAAATAGCAAAACATGATTACACATTACATCATTCCAGTGTTCGTCTTCAGCCTAGAGACCTAAACAAAATACACAACAACCTCCATAAAGACCCTTCTGCTATTGACCCACAGAGAGCATCCCAACAGGATGATTTTCATTGCTCTGGATAACACCATTGTTTGCTGGCCGCTTGACCCTGGAGTGGACTAAATCCCTGATTCATGGAAAGAAAGGAACAGTGTCTGTTGGCCCATTGCTTCATTTCCCCCCTCGTGCCAAGCTTAGCCTATTGGCTGGCCTTTTATCCCTCATCTTTGGCCTTGGCTTTGGCTCCTCAGCCCCCACAGCAAAACATCCCAAACAGACAAGATTACAATTCTGAGGACTGCTTAATATCCCTCCCTTTGGGCTAGAGAGCCAAGTACACCAAGGGGAGAGCAGCCAACGCCTGGCCTTTGGCCAGAGCAGAAGGACGCTGGCCACGGTCCACGCAAGGGACAGTCTTTCAGGGGCACAGACATCAGAATTTGTTTTTATACGAGGCTGGTGTTTGCAAATGGTAGTTTAATTAAAGAGATACTGTATCTAGAGGTGAAAGTAAACATTGGTGTAGATTTCATTTATTTAGCGGGCATATTTTGCTCAGTTTCAGGTTCATATCAGTATTTAGTGTCTCTACTGGGACATGTCTCCATGCTTTAATGTTCAAAAAGCTCTTTATTTGTCTCATACTGCCTGTGCTGCAGCACCTCTTTTCCCCCTCTGTCTGAAACCAGAGCCCAGTCTGCTCTGATTGGTTAGCTGGCCGGCTCTGTTGTGATTGATCAACTGCTTAAAGATGTGTCGAAAATGTCCTGCCCCTCAGCATATATTGTACAATGTGTACGCTCGCCAATACAGGCACGAGTGTTACATGGTGATGTCATTATTATACGGAAATAAACAAAGGAGTCCAATGGAGGCGTTTCAGGCAGTGGGAGAGAAAGTCCCTCTGGAGGGAACACAGGGATATTAGTCTTCGCAGACCATTTACATGCACAAAAACCTATAGAACACACTACAGGAAAGGGAAACAACTATTTAAATAATAAACATATAACAC